TCCTCCTAACCTCTCCCACCTGCTCTTCCCATGGGCACAGCTCCTCGCCCTGCCCGGATTTCTTCTCGGCATCCTTCAGCTGCGGCCCCAAAGTGAAGAAGGGAGGAATGGGGCTGTATTTTGGGTTGGGGGGACGAGGAGGTCCGGAGCCTGCCTGTCCTGGGCTGCTCCCCTTTTCCTGCTTCATTGGCTTTTATTTTTTTTTCATTTCACTTGGTACAGGGATATTCTGGATTGGAATAAGCTGTCCCTGCACAACCCGGTGGGCTTCAGCAGGTTATTCATCTCACCTCCCTCAGTCTCCCTTTTTTTAAGGTGGTTTTGTCAACTGGTGCATCAACGGTGGGTGGGTGGGTGGATGGATGGAGATGACGTGGGAACGGTGGGGATGGTGGTAGATAAGTACATTGACATGGATGGATGGGAGATAGCTTTCGTCTATGGAGTCAGGCTGATACTGAGAGAGGATCCCACCACCGAACCCGGGAACGGGAAGCTACCCAGACCACATAGCTATGGGCTGGCAGAGGTCAGTCCAGCAAGGGAAGATGTGGCTGGGTCCTCACCCACCTACGCAACGGTCACACCGGCTTTTGCATGGGGGCTGCATCCACCCTCGCCTCTCCAGCGTGGCCTGACTGCTATGTTGGTACAGAAACCCTGCACAGACGTGGGCTCTGGTGTGATGGGTCCCGGTGGGCTTCCGACGTACTCAGGCTGGGAGGTGAGGTGGGAAAGGCGCAAAAGCCAAAAGGTTTGTGCAAAGCCACACACAAGCTGGTGAGAAAAGATTTCCCCGGGCCCTCGTCATGCCGAGGCTCCCGCTGCTCCTGCGTCGGGTGAGCTCTCCGAGGTGGGAGATCCTGAAGGCCGTCTGATGTGGACACAGCCGTGGCTTCGGTGGCTTGCACTTGCAAAGCAACCAGGATTTTGCACCCAGCTCCTTGTAGACATTGAAACCCCTAGCTCCTGAAAGGATCATCCCCAAGCCTTGAAACATCTCGAGATGATCATGCAGGTGCCTGTAGCCCTGATAAAGCCTTTCAGAAAGCTGTGGCACCCTCGGCCATTGGTGGCAATGCCCGTCCCAGCGTTGAGGCTGCACGAAGCCACTGCTGTGCAAGCACGTCTCAGCTGTGGGTGGGCAGCCCCTGCGCCTGAGGCAGAGATCGCTCCGGTCATTTCTGCTCGGCAAGGTGGTCCCGCAGGACCGCTGTTTCGGGGAAAGTCATTGCAACTCATTAGTTGAAAGCGATGTGCAGAGGTTGGGCACTTGGGGACCTTTCCCCTGACCTTGTGCCTGACCTTGGGGACCCCCCCGTCCCCTGTTTGCCCACGGGTGAGTGGGGTGACGAGCCAGCTCACCCACGCCGGGGCCCACAGAGGGCAGCAGCACTGAAACATGCAGGTTTTGGGCAGCATCTGCATCGCCTGCTCGTGACACGACTTGTCAGGGCAGCGCTGATGCTGCAGGCACCGGCAGCACGCGCGGCTCCGCGGATGGCATCACCTGCCACGCGGGCAGGGGACGTGGTCCCTCCTTGGGGACCTGCTGGGGTGACAGCAGGCAGAGCTGTGGGGGGTCCCCGAGCCCTTCTCTGTAGCGAGGGGTGCAGTCCAGCCCTCTCCAGGTGCTGGGAGCAAACCCAAACCGCTGACCCTGGTTTGTCATCCTGGTCCCTGGGGTGGCAGCAGCAGTGGGCGCGTGGCATCGCTGTGCCCCAGGCCAGGAGCGGATCTCTCCCTCATCCCTGGTAGCAACCTTTAACCCTCCTCAGGATGCCGTGGCCAGGAGCTCCGTGCTCTAGCACTGTGATTCCTGGGGATGTTTTTGAGGGTTTATACCACTGACAGCACGAAGAAGAGCTCAGCTGCAGTGTTTGCGTTCAGCCAGCCCTCCCCACTCATTTTGGGGGTGAAGACTGGTCTCCCAGCTAATGTCCCACTGCGTACCTCCCTCCAGGGCTATAGGATGTTGCCCTTAGAGATGCTTTTCCATGCACGGCGGGGTCATTGTTGCAGCAAAAATGTCTTTCTAGGAGAGCTCGGGAAATTTCAACACAGGAAATTACGCCTCCAGCCCCGGGGAGGGTTTGGGTGCTCCCTTGGATGGCACCAGAGCGTGACCCCCCACGTCGGACCCCCCCCAGGCTCGTGCCAGCTTTGCTCCAGCAGCTAAGAAAACAAGATCCCCTGCAAGATTGCACTGTTGCAGGGGCAAAGAGACCATGGGGAGAGGGGCTGTCCCCACTCAGCTGCTGGGAGAGTCCCCCCAAAACCACGCAGGGACCACGCAGCATCATATTAGGGGAGATTGGCAGACTTGGCTCCCCCTCACCTCCGCAACATACCGTTAAATGGCATCAAGACGGTGTATCAGCCGCTTACATATGTTGCTTATAGACGCCAAACTTATTAACACAATAAAACTGCTGCTAAAAACTTTCCTGCCTCCTTTCCCGTGCGGAGAGCATCAGTGTTGGAAGCACCTAGCCACCTCACATGGAAACACCCAGGGTTGCTTTTCATATGGCACCCAGGAAAATAAATATACGAGTCAGCCAGGGTCCCCCTTCCAGTGTTTCCAGACCTCGGCTCCGAGGGCAGGGAGTTGGGGACAGCGCGAAGCAGGGGGGTTTAAAGCCAGACCTGGGGTGAAGCCGTCCCATCCCGCCCGGGCGCCGGTCCGGGGAGGCGGCGTGCCTCGGGGGGAAGCCGCTGCTCGCAGGGTGCTGCTGGGTGGGCTGGGTGCTGGCGGTCTCCTCCGATGCACAACACTGAATCGATCTTCCTCCCGCTTTGCTTTGGAAGTGGTCGGAGGGGGACCCTGGGTGATTCATGTATTTATTTTCCCGGGTGCCATATGAAAGGCAACCCCGGGTGTTTCCATACGAGGCGGCTAGGTGCTTCCAACACTGACATTCTCCAGGAGAAAAATAGGCAGGAAAGCTTCTTAGCAGCAGTTTTATTGTGTTAATAAGTTTGGCGTCTATAAGCAACATATGTAAATGACTGATATACTGTCTTGATGCCATTTAACATTATGTTGCGGAGGTGAGCGGGAGCCAAGTCTGCAGCATTTCGACTAATACACGAGGAGCTGCCAATTCTGGTGGGTTTTTTTCTTCTCCCCCCCTTTAAACAAGTTAGCAATCTGCCCGCGCCAAAATAATGACTCGGACCCTTCCGTCTCCGTTGCTGTTCCTTGGAAAACGGGTAAATATTGTGTTCATTTAGCCCTGGCGGCAGCTCCAGTCCCCGACGCCGGGTTGGAAAATCCCGGCTCGCTGGGTATCCCGGTCCCCATCGCTGCGGATGGGGAAAGGGGCCGGCAAGGAAAGAGC